GGATTGACTGCAGTGGGCTCCCTGCCCCTTGCTCAATGACTACCCTCTACCTGCATAGTGCCTATCGCAGGGCAAGAGACCAACGTCAGAGTCCCCAACAGCTTCACTGGTTCCAGAAACCTGGGCACATATTAACATTCACATCAGAAAGGGCAGGAAAGCCAGCTGGCCCAAGGGTTGTGGCACCCGGGCCCAGCTCTGAAAAGCCCTGCTCCTCACCTTGTGTCCTCAGACTAAACATCTACGACCCCTGAAATTCCCATGCAGAAGCCTCATTCTCAAGGCAAGAGCTCTGGGAGGTGATTAGGTCACGGGAAAGAGCGTTCATGGGGTTAATATTTGAGGGAGCTTGTCTGTCCCATCTGCCACATGAGGACATGTGAGTCACGGTGGGTGCTGCTGGCAAACCTGACCTCCTCCAGACACCAAACCTGAACCCCAGCCTCAGAACCAGAGCAACCAACTTCTGTTGTCCACAAGCTACGCTGCCTACAGGCAGGCTGGCCAAGGCTGAGGCTGTGCATTCTGGGCAAGTTATTTCATAAATCTGTTGCTGTTGTAAGCCAGGGGTTCTTGTGAGGATGGCATGGAAGGCCACATGAAGGTCCAGCCTAGGGCACAGTTGGTGCCAGGAAATAACAGCCACAGCCCCTCAGACCCTGCCCATGCCAATGACACCTGCTCCCTGTTCTACAGCCCCAGAGGGACATTTCAATACCAGGGGGCTTGGGTCACACCTGGGTTTTTCAGAGGAGGTGAAAGCAAATGCCAGTACGTACAGAAACAAGCCTCCTGCGGTAGACCCAGTGACGAAAGAAGCCTTGCTGACAGCTAATGCCGAGAGAAGTAGTTCAAGGCCAGAGACCGGCGGGCCATCTCTTTCCAGCAAGAGGAAATGTGTAGGCTCACTGAGCAGCTCCAATCACCATCCAGGCCCTCACAGAGCCCTTCTCCCGGCTAGGAGGGCGCCAGGAACAATGAGCAGACAGGCTTTCTCACCGTGAGAAGAATGTCCCAGAAAGGATGGGCAAGGAGTTCACCTCAGCTCTCCCACTATGTCCCTGACGGACCACCTACTTCCTGCCCACTTGACCATCCTGTGGGGCTCAGCTCAGGCTACAGCTCTGGGAACCAGCCGACAGAGCTACTCGGCTCGTGGCTGAGTGCTGCCAGGCACAGCAACGGACCCAGCACCTACGAGGCCAGAAGTACCAGGCAGCCCCTGCACAGACATGCTGCACGGGAGAGCGGGAGAACTCATCCCAGAGTCCCTCACGCGCTGTAGGATGCAGGGAAGGTCTATGACCTCAAAGTTAGGGGGTGTTATCCAAATAAGGGATAACTCCCTCTCCAAGAGGGACATGAAGCAGACAAAGGACCCACTAGGAGCCCAACACAGGGAAGGTCCCTAAGCCAAAGCTATTATTTAATCAGGTGAAAGTTAAGCGCGTCTCTCCGTGACGATATTGTCGAGTGTCCTACAGAGGCCAGAGGGGAGAGATTCCAGAATGTGCAGGCTGCTGCCTTCCTTTATATGCAGGAAAACTGGGCTCCTCAGACGGGGACAGATGCAAGGCGGGCACTCAGCATCCGGTGCTTCTGTGCCATGGCGCACAAACACGCTCCTAGGACCCAGCACAGGGTAAGTGACTGCTCTGTCAAACAGGCCTCCAGGAGGAAGAACCACGTTTGTATTCCCCGTCAAAGGTCCCGCCTATTATTTCCTGTGGCTCCTGAGGCTCCTCTAGTGACATTCCAGGCATTCTGCAGAGGAAAACTGTAAACAATGGGTTTTCCTCTCCTGCCCTCTCTTTCCCACGGTTTTCGGAACAAGCCCTCCTCTCCCCAGCGCGAGCGACCCACGCAAGCAGCACAGTGCCTTCTCACGCCTTTGCGGCCCCCGGCGGGTCTGCAGGATGGATGGGAAGATGGCGTGGGGGTGCAGCTTCCAACCTGTGCAACAAATCAGGTGATCTTGTGTACAGCCCAAACCAAGGAGGTGGGTGCTTTATGCAGACAGTCCCCAGTTCAGGTCTCCTGATGGTCTTCTCTACACTGACAGGCTCACTGCAGTTTTCAAAGGAGAAGTGTTAAAAGTCCCCATTCAAAGACTCCAAGAGGTGTGGTCAAAGGTTCCAGGGGACTGTGACTCAGGGGCAATTAGCATCGCCAACCCCCTCCACACAGGTTATCTCTTAAGCCTCTATAATGTTCATCCTTTTATGAGCTGGCCATTTAAGTAAGAGGCAGGACTGTGTGTGTTTGTTATTAAGAATGGAGATGATCCTCTGCTGTTGAAAAAGAAGTTGGGGAGTGGCTGGCGCTGTCCTCCCTGTCCTGAGGCAGCTGCTGTTCCTCAACAGTTTGCACACCAAGGTGATGAAGACTGAGAAGCCCGGCAAATGGAAGCTCTTCATTTACATCTGACTGCCAGAGAGCTCCTGCACTACTTTGTGCTGGGCTGCCATCTCGCTCTAAAGCTTACCTTTTTAGACGAGACTCAACTGGTTCACAATGTGGGCCACACTTCAGACTAAATGATGAGGTTCCCAAGCATCACGGCCAGATGTATGGATCTCCCAAAACCAGCGGTGCACTGGGATATACATCTAGTGTGCACGACCCAGGCTCCTATTCACAGTACATTAAGACCTCAGAGCTGTCCAAAGTCATTCTCCAGTAGAGAAGAGCCCCAAGTCAGTCCTGATGGAGCCCACCTGAACATACGGGCCTACTTAACGCCTCATCCCACTTTCTGACTCCTCGCTTCAAGCATGGGGTGGTAACGAAATGGTTCTGAGTTTGGCTGTTCTGAAGACAACCTTGTATTCATGGGAGAATAAACAGAGTAACTGGCTTAAAGCCTAAAGGGGATGTGCAGGATAGGATATGTTTCAAAGGGTGAAAACAGCGAGTGTCTCCCCTTACCCCAAACATGGCATTACTGACTTATAGTATTCTCCATGTTATGGGGAAAACCATACACGAGGGACCCAGTGGTCCTCAGTTCCTGCCTGGGTCATCTTTGGATCTAACTGACCAGGAAGGAAGCAAGAGCAAAGGACAAAAGTCACACAACCTAAAAAATGAAGGTGATCATCAGAAGTAAATGCACAGCGCCTGTTGGGTGTCTCCACAGGACAGATGCTATGTCGCCTGTCTACGTTTTGTCTCAGCTGGAGCAGCCATTCTGGATGTGAGACATGTTGGAGGAAGTCGTGTATAACCAAGGAGGGAAACCATACCATGCTTCCAGATCCCGGTGCTCAGCGTCCTCCAGAGTAACTGCCTGTTGCCGCCACTGCCCTATGAACCAGTGCACAGTCGCCAGATACAGACCATTGAACACCCGATTCCAAGCCGAGAGAAAGGAGGCGGTGTCCTGTTTTTGTGTGGTGTTAACTGCTCAACTGTCTCAAGTTTAATATGGGGCTAGACAGATGGCTCAGTGGAGGTAAACAGCTCCCAGGAGCTGTCAGAGGACTGGGCAGGAGATCCTGGAAGATGTACCGAGGGCCACAAAGGTGACCTTCCCCTGTGCGCGCCTTAATGATGCGCTTGAGCTATAGGTCTACAAAGTGTTGGGTATTCAGCCACTTTCCATCCAACTAGAGATGAGTTTGTAAAAGCGATATGGAAAGTGCCTTTTCATTTTGTGTTATCACACAAAACAGAGGAAGGGGCACTGAAGTCTCAGAACTGCGGACAGTTCTCTGGCTCCTCCACCTTAACTCAAGACAGTTACCCACCATGCCCCTCTCTGGCCAGCGTCTAGAAAGACTCAGTGGAGGGCATGAGAGGGGAAACATCATCCCTGTCAGCCCTCAGCAAAGGACTCAGTCCCATGAAAGCTGCCCTGCTCTGTTCCCCGGCCCAAGACATCCAGCTGTTTAAAACGAACTAAACCTTGGGACTGCATATCCTTTCTAAATCAGCGGCCTGCTTCTTTGGCAGGAAGAAAAAAATTCCATCCATTTTTTTTTTTTTTAACCACATCAACATCAAGACCGAAACATTATTTTCAGTTACAAGGCACTTGCTTCCTGAGTGAAGGTGAGCCCAGACCGAGGCCCGTGTTCCCCCGCTACCAGCTCCATCCTTGCTGGGGATGCCTTCAGCCAGGCTGTGAGTGCCCAGCTCTTGGTCCCGCTGCAGACAGAGTATGCCATCAGGAAGAAAGGGTCAGGCCAGGAGAAGCTGTGGACCTTGAAAGTGACTGCCCACAGCACCTAGTGCCTGGTCCAGAGGGAGCTAGCTCTGTAGACTTGTCACGGGGGAGGGCTGAAGCCTAAAGACGGCCAGAGCGGAGTCCTTCAAGTGCTACCCAGGTCTAAGGATGGAGCCATTTGGTTCCTGTGGGGCCATTTCTATGAGGCTATGTCTCTTGTCAGGCTTTAGACTAAACTTCCCATCAGAGGTGGTTCCATGTCCTCTGGTATAATGGGGACGCACACCGAACAGTATCCATGTGGGCGGGTGCCCCGAGATCGGTTCTGGCCCCCAGTGATCTCCATATCTAAACTGGAAGGTGCTATTTAACTCCTCCTGGGAGAGAAAAGCTGTGGGCAAGTGTAGGCAATCAGGAACCCCGGAAGTGCCAAAGGGTCATCCTGCACTGACTGACTCTTCTTACCCATGTGCTGACGTCCCTTCCCCCAGCCTGGGAGAGCTGGCCTTAGAATACAAGCGTAGAGTGAAGTGAGCTGTCTCGTGTCAATATTCATACGGGAGACGGGGTCAAACAGTAGACCAGAAGATTCTGCTGGAAACTTCCAGCACCCATTTATTTCAACCCTCAAAGCTCCCCCAAGCCTGCAAGAGCTCAAGCAACAGAAACACTTCCGGGACACACACAGCACAACCCACTCTGTTCACCCTTAGACATCATAAAAACCAGTGAGGCATAAAACACAGTCAAGAGAAAGGGGCCACTGTGGGCTGTGGACTGTCCAAGAGCCAACTCTGTCCCCTAGAGCCGGGGGCTCCTGATATTTGGTTACCTGGTTCTTCTGGGGCTGGTGGAGCGCTGACTTCAGGCTCTGGGGTGACTTCAGGGGGTGGTGGGGGTGGGGCCGGTGGAGCTTTGACGGGGGTCGTTGACTCAGGGGTCTCAAAGGCTTCCTCAGAGTCGGAACTCCTGGCAGAGAGAGAGAAATAAGAAACACAGGTAAGCCAGTGCCAAGTAGAGATTCTGCTGAGAAGGCATGGCCTTTTAACTCTACTACACATAGAGTTGGGTCAAATACTCAATTCAACTGCTGAGACAGGTGTGAAGGTCACCTCGAAGCATGATTCCCAGGAACTCTGACACTGGCATTAAGATCAAATGATAAACTCTGAACATGGCTCTACTTGAAAGACACGTGTTCACCCTAGTGACAAGTTCACACACAGTAGGCCTTTGGATGCATTTTGGTTACCCTGCCTGGCACTGAGTCAGTCTAAGGGATAGAGAGACCATTTTTACTGTTCACCACGATGACTCCAGCCCACCTCTAGGATCCTCATCTCATAAGCTCAGTCTGCATTCACTCTCTCTCCACCCAGCCTGCCATCATCCTTTCCACTCCCTGCTTCTAGATGTTTACTGGTCTCTTCTGAGGGGCTGGAATCACCATGCAGATAGGCTGGCCCTGTTTTTCATAGTACCCAGGGCCTAAGACGGAAGGCGATGCACGACAACCTATAGAGTGAACGAGAGCCGCAAAGTCGGCCAGCGGAGGATATGCAGGCCAAGCCACAAAGAACAGCCAGCCACTCTTCAGTGGTGTGGTGACAGCCCTCGGTGGTCCCTAGGAAAGTCTACCTGCAAGGACGCCTCTTCCTGCAGAGACCTGGGCCAAAAGCCCACCAAGGAAAGTTTCTCTCGGTAACAAGAAGTCAGTGGCCAAGCCTTCTTCTCCCTTCCTGCTTCTCTAAGCTACTTGATCTCAGCCAAAGGAATGGGGAACTGAGTTCTAAGTTCTCCTGCTGCCTACAAGACACAGGGCAGCAGTCCATTGCCCCGAGATGATCACAGGACCAAGGCCACCCTTACCTGTGAGGACAGACTCTGTGGAGAGCAGCAGCATGCTGGCATCTCAGAACAGTTCCAGTGCACCCAAATGCCAACCGATCCCTGGCAAGGATGGAGGAGGCTAACTACCAGGATGGTGGCTATACAGGACTGCAGATCAAGACTGCTGAAGAGATAATCCGGTCATGTCGCAGCAGGAGACAGAACACGGCATGTCCGGATTCAGTGCACTAGGTCATGTGGGTATCACTGAACATGAGCTTCCTCCAACACTGTGAGAGGCTCACAGCCATTCAAGCTCCTCAGGGTCACAGGACCAGTGACCTTGGAAGATGGTAACCTCTTCTAAAGACCACCAGCCGGCCAGCAGAGTATCAGCAAGCAACAAACCCCTCTGCTGTCCACTAGGACCCAGGAAATGAGCCATTCGGCGAGTTCCCTTTAGAACATCTACATCAAGGCTGGGGATGCAGCTCACTTGGTAGTTATTGCTTAACATGCACAAAAACACGGGTTTAACCCTTAACATGACATAAACCAGGCATAGTGGTTTGAGCCTGTATAATGTTAGCACTAGAGGTTGAGACAGGAGGATCAGAAGTTCAAGGTCATCCCCAACTGTGTATCATATTTGGGACTCAAAGAAATCAGTAAAAAACATCAGAGCTGCTTTTGATGAGACCTAACGAGCTAAAGCCAACTTTGTACTAGATTTCACTAGTAAATACTCAATTCTCACAAACACAACAGGGAGCACGCTGATTTCTTTTCCACCCACATATTAATGTTAAGGGACTCAGCTTTAGTCTCTGGGGAAAATTTAAGTTCCATCCGCACTTGGGCAGCAACCGATCTTGGTAGAGAAGTTTTAAGAGTGAAAACCCAGGGAGGTTATACAAACGAACGGTAAAGAGGAATGAAAGTTCTGATCACCTTGCTAGGCCTGGGATGTAGTCCTGGGAAACAACTTCCTCACCCCAGCATCCATCCATACCATAAACATCAGGGACAACCATGACAAAACACACCGAGTTAACTTGCCTCTTTCTGGAGCTTGCCTGGGCAGCTAGCAGCCCGGAGTCCCCACTGCCGCTCACCGCTGCCCACATCCACCGGGCCCATTCCACTGGGGCCCACATCTGCCAGGAGTCAAAAGCCATCTCCGTGGAAAAATAGCCCCAGTTCCCACCTATAATATTCTTGCTCGTATCTCTTTCATGACATCACCAAAAAAAGGAAGCTTCCCCGGCCTCCCAGCAAGGAATGCCATGAACTGAGCATCTCCTGTGTTTGGAGGCCCCAGGCTGCCTTCTCAAGCCGAGATGCAGAGAGAGAGAGACCAAAAGTTGGTCCTGTTGCTTCTGCAACCCTGGGCACTGGCAACTCAAGGCTTTGGGACACAAAGGGCCCTGGTCTTTCCGAGTAGCACAAGTGACAAGGAGGGCCGGATGCTCTTGCATCCTAGCTGTGAATTCCAATGAGGTTTCGCAGGCAGCAGCTGCCAGCCTGCACACCTGCTCGGAGGACCACCATTCACCCGGGCCTGGGGTGGGCAAGGAAGGAGGACACCAGGCTCATTGTGCCTCATCATCTTTTTACTATGAACTGTGTGCATCCAAAC